TTCTTATAGTCTGGAAAAGTTGCTTCTCCAAGAATATTTGAGAATCCCATACCAAATGTGAGGAATTATGAAAATGCCTAATCATTTCCCACTGCTCAGCTTTGGGGAGAGTTTTTTTTTTTTTTTTTTTTCTAGCAACCACTCTGAAGGATCATTTTGTAAGCCTTTCTGTTCTGCCCATTTAATTTTCTCAAGTATATAGCATGATGCCACTGGCATGGTTGGAGTCCCTGGTGTTAGTGCAATAGCCCGGAATACCAGTGTCTGTCTGCCAGGACAATTCCTCTAATAATAGAGGGTTCTCCCTTTTGGTGTTCCCTGCAGTGAATAACTGCTACCTCCTTTGGGAGTTGGAAATGTATAAAAGTCCCAAGATCTCAGAGTGATGTTGTATGAGGGATCTGTTGCTGTTAATAATCCCCTTTTCTTCCATATCACTGCTTGAACATGGAGCACCAGGAACCCATTTTTGGAGTCAGTAAATACACTGACTATAAAATATTTTCCCAGTTGGAGGGCCCTAATTAGAGCAATTAATTCTACTTTTTGAGCAGAAGTCTAGGTAGGTAAAGTGTTGGCCTCAGTGACTTCTTGCTGGCTAACTACTGCATAACCTGACTTTCTTACTCCCTCATGAGTAAAGCTACTTCTGTCTGTAAACCACTCAGCATCAGGGTTAGGCAGGGGTTAATATTTGATGTCAGGCCTGCTAGAGTAGGAGATCCATTCTATGGTTTCCACACAAGAGTGAATGAATTGTGGATCTGTTTCTTGGGATGTGAAATCTGGCATCAGGGTAGCACAGTACACATACTTTAAGAATAATATCTGGGGTGTCAAGCAGAATGGCTTGATATTTGAGTAACTACCCTCCTGTTAGCCATTGATGTCGTCTTGCTTTTAGGACATCCTGTACTTTATTTTCCAGGCTATTGCACAGTTTAAATTGTTGTCTCAAGATAAACTTACTGGCTTCTTCTGCCAATAAAGCATTGGTGGCCACAGCTCCCAAGCATCTTGGCCATCCAGCCACCACCTGGTCTAGCTGTTTAGAAAAGTAAGCCACTTGTCTGGGATTATACCTGAGTCTTTGAGTTATAATATCCAAAGCTCTCCCTTGTTTTTCAGCCATGTAGATGCTGAAAGGCTTTTCTAAGTATGGAAGTCTCAAAGGGGGGGCTCTTCCAAGCTTTGCTTTTAGGGTGAAAAATGCCTGGTGACAGGTATTGTCCCAATTCAGAGGCTCATGATCACTGCTTTATAGAGCTTCATAGAGTGGTTTTGTTATGAACCCAAACCCAGGAATTCAAATCCAACTAAGAGTCATTTCCAAAAAGTCTCTGAACTGTTTTTCCGTCTGAAGGGGCTAGAGTTCCAGGATAGTCTGTTTTCATGTTTGGCAAGGTCCTTGTCCCAGGAACAAGCATAAACCTCAAATATTTAACCTTTTATATAGAAATTTGAGCCTTGTGTGGGGATAATTAATACCCTTATTTTCCAAGAATATTAAGGACCCTCATTGTGTTCCTGTCACGGTCTTCCCTAGTAGTGTTGGAAATTAATAACTCATCCACATATTGCAACAGAAATTCTTTAGTTAACAGTAGTTCCCTTAACCCTTTTGCCAAAGCATTGCCAAAGAGATGGAAACTGTCCCTAAAACACTGGGGAAGGACTGTCACAGTATGCTGAGATGCAGCATGAATGTCTGGATCAGTGAATTCAAAAATAAAAATATACTGGGATTCTGGAGGTCAAGGTAGGCAAAAGAAGGTATCCTTCAAGTTTAATACTGAGAACCAGTTAGCATATTCAAGAACTTGGGTCAGTATAGCGTAAGGATTAGAAACTATTGAGCAGACTACCTCTGCTGCCTCCTTAACTTTTCTCAGTTCCTGAACATTCTATAATCCTCATTTGGTTTATTTACAGACAAAATCGGAGTGCTGCATGGGGACTGACAGGATTGCAATAATCTGTACTTTAGAAAATTTATTGTCAGGGGCTGGACACCTTCTTAGCCTCAGGTCTCAAAGAATTTTTTTTTTTTTTTTACCATGGATAATTAACACTGACTTTTAAAATCATCTGGACTAGGGTTATATTAACAGCTCTACCAGGAACTCTCATATTTCAAATAGAGCTGTTTACTTGAGAAGCAATATGCCATGGAAGCGTCTTTTTGTGTGTGTATTAAGGCAAGGCCTTAAAGCTAGAAGTGTCCCTTCCTGCCCTGGTTGTCTTCTTATGAGGCTCTCTAAATTGAACTATGACCTGTAATTGGGAAAATAAGTCTGTTTTCAGTAAGCAGATAGGGCAATCAGGCATAAGCAGAAAACTATGAGAAAATGCATGGTCCTCCATGGTGCAATGAAGAGGATAAGTGAATGTCCTAAATTTTGGCTAGCCATCAATCCCTATTGTGGTACAGGAATGGGAAGGCAGTGGCCCTAAGTAATGGGTTAGAACTGTAAAGGCTGCTCCCATACTCAATCACTCTGTATTTTTACCTGTCACATCAAGGGTCATTCAAGGCTCCTCTGTGGAGATGGTAATGTGTACGGTGAGAGGGGTAGAGAACTCAGACTGTGTCAGTCCTCTGATTTCTTGGTTATTATGGGTCTGGGTGGATCAGACTCCATTTTAAGCCAGGGGTAGCCCTTCCTCCACTGGCCTTCTAACTCACAGAAGGCACACTGATTTTGGCCCAGGCCTGGTGAATCAGGGGCTCTTGTCTGGGCATTCCAGATGCGGATCTTGAAACTGATCCTCAGGATGAGGATCATTTTAAATTCCCACCATCTGCAAAGAAGGTGTAAGTATATATAACAAGGCTTTACAAAAATGGATTATGTGGTATTAGTGGGCAGTAGAATGATGAGTCTAAACGCTACAGAGATCAAAGCAAAAATCTTAGTTTTGGCAAAGAGGGTCCAAAAGAAACAGAAGGTGATTGTGGAAGGGAGAAAGAAGGGGTGAACAGCATTATTCAAGAGGAGACCTTGAAGATCCTGACTTGCTGTGGAATCCTCCCAACTACAGAGAAACTAAAAAGAAAACCAAAGACCCTGGCCCCTTTAACCAAGATGGGCTTGAACAAGGCAGTTTGTTGGACAGCAGAAAGGAAGACAGCACAAGGGAGGGACCCACAACTGGCTGTTAAAGAAAATAATAACTTCTAACTGCAGGCCAGTAAAGGTGAGGCCAAGATTCCCCTAGTGGAATGGGAGAACTCCCCTCAATTCTAGAAGAAATGTCAGTGCTAAAAATCCTGGAGCATTCAAGGGGGTGGACAACAATACCATTGCCAAAAAACCCAGAGCACCGAGGGAAGGGCCGATGCGGGTCTCCTCACCAAATGCTGAAAGCTCCAGAACATCTGGCGGTGGCTAGAAGTGAGCTCCAAATGCCGAGTTGGGTTCACAAAGCAACATAACTCCAGTGTCCTGGAGTCAGTTCACCGGGGCACCTCTCACAACTAAAGGTCCTGCCTTAAACGTTTGCCAAAATATAGCTTGCAGGGGTGAAAACAAAATTACTGCAAATGAAACACACATTCCAGGGTGGAAAATAAAATTCCTGGTGGAATAATAAAATGTCATTAGAGGATAAAGGATTGAGGGATGGCAATAGAATGTGCCTCTATCCAGGGCACCCAAATGATGGGGGACTTAAAATTGACCACTTAGACAGAGGTCCTGTTTCCTGGTTCAGCTGATATTCAAGGGGATGGCAGACAGAACAATCACTTGCAAGAGCCAAAATGGTGCCAACCAGTCTCCAGCATGAGAACTGGGTGATGGTTTTCTCAGGTACTCCCAGCTTGGATAGGCTCAGCTCCCACAGGTAGGCCAGCGTGCAGACCTGTCACCCACCAGCCAGAACACTGGGTCCTCCACAAGGCAGCAATACTATGGCCACTTGCCCATTTGCTTGGCTCCACCAACTGCCAGTAAAGATGATGGCCCTGAAAAGAGCCTTTGGTTAGTGTTACAGCACTTCAGTATTAGCAGCTTCTTGATGTTACAGACTCAGCACTACAGCTCTAGGAGCTTGGGTTGCCAGTTGCCTTGCTGTCCTGCTGACCATCGCCTGTTGCTAACATCTCATCATTTGTCCACTCTCACTACATTGCTGCCCCTTGCCATCTCTTCTCAAGCTACTGGCTGACTTGACAGTGATGTAGGGCAGCTTCTTGGCTTCATTTAGGAGTGAATTCAAGAGCAAGCTAGTGGTAGAAGTAAGCAGTTTTATTGAAGTGGCGGTGTTAGAGCTCTGTGACTGCTCATTGTGGAACAAGGCTAGCCCATAGGCACTGCACTGAGAAAAGCAGCCTAGGGATACTTCTGTGGGTGTTACATAGCTGTATTTATACCCACTTTCATTTACATGCAAATTAATACATGCATTATTCAAAAATCTCTAGAAAATGGCCGGTAACTTCTGGGTGTTGACATAGAATTTGTCAACTGTCATGGTGCTGGTGGGAATGTCTTATGCTGATGGGGCGCAACAGCCAGGGGTTGCTTTCAGGGCCACTTGTCAGTTTTAGCCAGTTTTCAATCTGGTCTGGGAGATGAGTCCTATTGGTGTCCTGCCTCACTATGGCATCACCATCACCACAGAAGAAATAAAGGTTAAATTACATTTTAATTAAAATCAGAAATATATTTTATGGCATATGACTGGACAGAGAATGTCATAACTGAATTTATTTACATCTCTATCCCATTCTGTAGCCTGAGATCTACTCTGAAACACACTGAACCAATCCTAGCACTTCCTATTTGGCCTATATCAGGGTAATGGTCCATTAAGTATTTTATAATTCATGTGTACCCAACCTACTGTTTTATCCACACATTTACTAAAGAATCATAGTTTTGTGCTTTTATTTAAAAAAATTCAAATGAAGTCTTACTCAGAATGATAAAAGGCGAGAAGAGTGAGTTATTTGTTTTGGGGATAAGCACACCATTTCTTTTTTTAAAATAATTTTTGGGGGAACTTTTTGGTAAAAATCAGAAAGCCTTCTAGACAAATTCTAAAAGAGCTGTAACACTCAAAATTTCTTCCAAATTTTTATTTACCTGTAAAAGCAAATGGATATATGCCTTCCTCTTAAAATCACATGCATCTTTGTTTTAATAGAATAATTTTCAATAATTTTTTACAGTGAAATCCTGGAATGAATTTCCAATATGTATAGGTGATGAAAGCAATTCAGAAACTCAACAGAGAATTCTATTCACTGGTTTAAAAGACTTCTTTATTTGCAGAAGGCTTAGAATAAATATTTAAAAGTACGAGAGTTTTAGTGAGCATTGTGTGAAAATCAATGTTTTTATCTGAGAAAACTATCTGATAATATTTATTGTAGAAAATGTAATGCCTCAGGATAATAGCATTTTTCTATCATGCCTTAGTCTCTCCTTTGGCCCACTTTACCATGAGGGTAGAAAGAAATAGAGAATGTTTTACCCACATCCCAATTTGAAGAGCAAGAAAAGCTAATGGTCTGTTTAATCTAACTCATCAGTTCATCAGTACCATGAGTGATGCATAGTGTACTTGATTTTCAATTAATCTGTTGCCAGAAATAATAAATCAATTACTCAGTGTAGTAAACATACTCACTTTTGGCAGAAACAATAAGTTTTAATAATATTCAATTATGTGGTATATTTATAGTATATATACTATAAAAATACTCTGGTATATATTATAGTATATATACTATAAAATATACTAGTTATAGTTTAAGTTTCTCTCAAGACTGTTTTTACCCCATGATCTTAATGAGCATATATATAAGCTATTGCCCATTTCTTTATCACTGGGGTAAAGCAAATATGGCAACTCTAGCAACAAGACCCAATAAGAGAAAGCACTTGCTTTTCGTAACAATTGTGTAGCTCTGCCTAGATTAAACACTCAACAATTTCCCATTCAATCTCTTCAAAGCAACTTGCTCTCTTGTTTCCTCAGGTTAAGTGTGATGAGAACCAGACCTGTGGGTTGTGACCTTTTCTGGGATGAAAGATGCCATGTGACTAAAATATTCTGTGATTAATGTACATTCATTTTGCTTTTGATAGTATTCAGTGTTGATTCAAGTTTTTGAGATAATTAAAAAACCTGACTTGGTGAGTTACTGCTATGTGTACCTTGAACTGCTGTGATCTCTGGAATATTTTGTGCCCATATGATTTAAGGAGTTGGCTTGAAGTGCATGACTTCAGCTCTTTTTCTGTCTCTTATTCCAAAGTTCAGCTAATAAAGAACACCCTGTTTGAGCTTAAGCATTAGACTTTTCTATTCAGAGACTACTTAAAAATGCATAAGGCAAGACCAGATGGAGACCAGCTGCTGCCTGGGAGAGGGAGCAGGTCTGATGGTCACCGCATGGGTGCAAGGACTTATCTGAGCCCTTACTGTGGGTGCACATCAGAGCCCATGTCTGTGTGGACATAAGTTTCCTCATACCTGTCTTTAAAACCCCTACCTCTGTCCTCCATTCTAAACCCTCATAGCACCTGTTCCGCAACCCATAAGCTCTCCACATTCCCTTCAACTTAGCGGATTTTTATGGAGACTTTATCACATAGGCATAATTCATTATTAACTAAATCTCCAACCTCTCTCTTCTTCCCAGCGGAGAAAAGCGGGGCTGATTTCTAATTATGGCCTGGCCTTTCTGGTGACCAGCTCCCATTTAAGAGCCCATCAAGAGCCATCAAGAGCCATTAGAACAAAATACATATCTATCAATCCAGAAATTTGAAAAAATTCAGTAACTCTGTAGCAGAAACCCAGGATCAAGATGTAACTTTTTACCAAAGATTATTCCGCACCACTATCTAGAAGAATTTTAAAAATTTTGTTTCAGGGAGCAAAGGAAAATATCTGTCTATTTAACTATCTGTCATCTATTATCTCTATCTAAAGAACATATATATATATGTAATTTCACAGTTATATACTTTGATATTAATGTACTCACTCCAGCATGATTGTATTTTAATTAGTGTTATATTGGTATGTATTTTTAAATTCTTTTATCATTACTTTTATCTTTATATTTAAAATGGATTTCTTTTAGGCAGCATATAGTTAGGTTTTACTTTTGTATTCAATCTAAAATCATCTTCCTTTTAATCATGATACACTTTTTTTACTTAATGTCAAGATTAATGTGGTTAAGCATAAAACTACTATCTTACTATTTGTTTTTTACTTGTCCCACATAATCTTTTTAAAATGTCTATATTTTTTTTTTTTTTGAGACAGAGTTTTGCTCTTGTTACCCAGGCTGGAGTGCAATGGCACGATCTCGGTTCACTGCAACCTCTGCCTCCCAGGTTCAAGTGATTCTCCTGCCTCAGCCTCTCAAGTAACTGGTTTACAAGTTCATGCCACCACGCCCAGCTAATTTTTTGTATTTTTAGTAGAGACAGGGTTTCACCATGTTGGCCAGCACGGTCTCAATCTCCTGACCTCATGATCTGCCCACCTCAGCCACTGGGATTACAGGCGTTGAGTGACCATGCCCGGCTGAAGTATACTATCATTCTTATCTTTGACACTCTACATAGTGTATTTTTCCTTTTTTTTTTTTTTTTTTTAGTTTTTTTTCTTTATTACAGGTTCAAACCACTTCATTAGGGTTGCCTTGTAGTTTTCATCTTATTTTACAGACTTGGAGATTATTGAGCTTGAATCTGTGGGTTTATGGTTGTCATCAAATTTAGGAAAATTTCAGTGATTATTATATCTTCATGTTTTTTTCTGTTTCTCATCTCTCTTACCTTCTTTAGGGATTCCAATTAATATATTAGCTTAACTAAAGTTGTCCTAGAATTTACTAATATTCAATTAATTTTTCTATTTTATTTTGCATAATATCTGGCATTTTTTTGATTTCAATAATCTTTTCTTATCCAATGCCTAATCAGATGTGATCCTATTCAATATATTTTTCATCTCATATATTTTAGATTTCATCCTAGAAGCTTTATTTTTATGTTTAATATCTTCCATTTCTCTGCTTAAACTTTTATTTATATTCTTGAACGTATCTTACATACTTCAAATAAATATTTTAGTGCCCTTGCCTATTAATTATAGTGCCTATAAAATTCATGTCTGTTTCTATTAATTGCTATATTTTTTCTCATAGTGAGGTGTATTTCCTGCTTCTTTGCACTCCTGGCAATTTTTGTATTTGATGACAGGCGTTGGAATCATACACCGTTAGCTGTTTGATACTTTTGCATTTCTATAATGTTCTTGAACTTTGTTCTGGGATAGAGTTAAGCTATTTGAGAACACATTGATACTTTTAATGCTTGCCTTAAACTTTCTTAGGTAAACTCAGAGTAGCTCTTACTCTAAGACTATTTTTCTGCACTAATGAGGCTATACTCATCTGAGTATTCTTCCTAATATTCCAGGAATTTAGAGGTGTTTTTACACCTATGACAGGTGAGAACACAGATTATTCTCAGTCCAGTATTCTCTCTATGGAATTGTCCCTCTCATCCTTTTAGTTGTTTCTTTTTCTGATCTCCATATATGCATCTAAAATCAGTACTCAAGACTAATGAGGATCACTACGAAGAATTCTAGAACATTCTCTGCGTGGAATGTTTTCTTCAATACTCTATCTTATGAATTCTAGCTACCTTGTCCTCCCAGGACTTAAAACTCTATCTTGTTAACTTTGGGTAACTACTAGGACCTGTGTGTGTGTGTGTGTATGTGTGTGTGTGTGTGTGTGTGTGTTTTCCCCCTCTCTCTACTATAAATTGAAAACACTTTCTAGTTATTAGCCTAGGATAAATGTTCCACATACCTTAATTTTCCTTCTTTTGGGAATTATTGTCTTGCACCAGCTATTTTCACGTGTATAAAAATTGTTGTTTTATAATTTCTTCTGTATTTTTTTTAGCTTTTTATATCAGGCAAAGAGGCAAATTTGTTCCCTGTTACTCCAGCTTGGTTGTATGTGTAAGTCTGATTATTTTTTAAGATCAGAAACATATTTTTGGAAAATAATTCAATAAGAAATGATATTAAAGTTTTATTCTTTATCTGTTATAATACCAGATCTTTATTCTAATATAGAATACAGTGTGTTTCATAAATCCCTACTTTTTATCTTGTGCTATGTGGGTTGTCATGGAAACAACAATGAACAATTGTAAAACATGATTACTCATCCCAAGCTGCTTGCAGATTATATATAGATACATGGGGAATAATTAGTTACTATAAAGTCTTCACAAATTAGTCATTAATTTAAAAATCTTAACCCATCTATAGATCAGCAGTAAAACTTGGTATTATTTCTGCCTCTAAAGCTAAAAATCTGTTATAAAGTATTGCTCAAATGATAGGAATTATAACTATTAAAAATCATTGCTATGGACTGAATATTTGTGTCCCCACAAAATTCCTACATTGAAATCATAATTCCCATTGTGATGTAATAGAAAATGGGGTCTTTGAGAGGTGACTAGTTCATAGGGACAGAGCCCTCAAGAATATTTAGTGTCCTTATGAAAAGAAACATAAGAGAAATGATAACTTTCTAGACAAAATGGGAATACAAGGTGAAGATAGCCATCTGCAAACTATGATGTGGGCCTTACTAGACACTGAATCTTCCTGTGCCTCAATTTTGGACTTCCCAGCCCCTAGAATTGTGAGAAACAATTTTATGTCATTTAAGCCTCTGTTCTATTGTTAATCTATGGTATTCTGTTGTAGCAGCCCAGGCTAAAATATATGATTGTTTAATTGTAAAGGCTGTGTTGACTTCCAAATGGAAAGTAATAGCTTGTGATTAGAACAGTCTAGAAAAGAAAAAGAAGAAAATATCTTTTTTAAACTGAAGTTCTGATGATACTTAATCCTTACTCTCAGTTTTTTTTTTTTTTTTTTTTTTTTTTTTTTTTTTTTTTTGAAATTAGATATATCTCTTCAGGTATCCAATAATAATTACATGAGTTACATAGCATTAAAAAATTAAACTGTGAATGTTTTTTCTCTCTGTGCCAGTG